CTACTGCTACTACTGCTACCACTTCTCCCACTACTGCAGCATACTGCTACGACTGCCACTGCTACCAGTACGATAAGTAAGGCAGACGTTGTTATGTCCATAATGGCGTTAACGATAATAGAAAGTGCTGCTGCAAGACGCAAGGCCAGGGCGGAAGCAATACAAACTAGCAGACAGCAGTAACCATAGCACACAAGAAAACTCGTGAGTCTTGGGAGCTCATGGCAAAGCACGCTGGAGGCGGGTGCGTGTACTCCTAATATAGGGGCCTTGATGATTAGAAGGTTTCGATGCACATTATTCGTATGACCATACTAAAGAGCTCTTAGGAGTAGTTGTTTTCACCATTCAGGCTCCTATGTGGCAGCATCCACAATCTCCTATGGAGAATTTTGCTCAATTTCTTGGGGTCTGTTCCGAGTGTTCAGGGTCCCACAGGCTGTGCCGATACACCCTACACAGAGGCTCAAGATATGTGACCCCCTGGCTGTGACCCTGCGAGCTCCAGCCGCACTTGATGCCGGGTTGCTTTGAAAGGTTTGCAGTTTAGACCAAGTCCCAGGGCTCCTAGGCAGTCTTAGAGCTTGTGGCTCTGGATTCGTGGATGTTGAACCCCGATCAGAAGTATGCTTTTTAACTCGCGCCGGTGGCCGGCCGCTGTCCCTTCTGGGCTGCTCCCAAAGCAAAAGGTGCCAGGGGATGCTGCAACGTCTGCCTGAGGCTCTACTACAATCATATGGGCACTGTGGACCAGGGTTTTTACACTAGTGTTAGGGCATCGAGGGCTTTGCCAAACTCAGAAAAATGGGGCGGAGGGATAATTAAATTTTGGTTTAGGGTTCAAGGACTCCAGGACGAAGATCTGTGTGCTTGATGGCTGTTCCATACTTCATGGATTTGGGAGTCTCTGGGTATACGAGGCTGAATGGCTGAAGCTTCGGGCGTTACGCAGAAACCCTTAAGCCGAAAGCATGGACATAAGGGAAAACTGTCCAACAAGATCCTAAGGCAGCAGCCATCGAGTGGTGGAGTCCTGAACCATCCAAGGGGGTCTTTGAGAAAGTTACGGTGCCTTCTCTTGGGGTCCTTAAAACAACAAGGAGGATCCGACTACTTACGCTCCAAATCAAGGTCTCCCGCTCTTTGAAACTCCCAGACTCCAAAGCCCGAGATTCAATTCCTGAACTTTGGATCCCGAAGAGTGATCGTAGGCCCTCGATCAACCCTACTTAAAGGATCACGGGGTCTAGCAGGCAGGGTGATAGTGAGGGGTTTAGGGTTTAGGGAACTACACTCATAGTCTCATGTAGCCCCACCTAGCATACCTTTGCCATACTTCTGCGAAGCCCATTGTTGCAGAACTCCTACAGTCAGTACCCATATCAAAAGCAGATACCCCATGTGAGCCACAAATAATGGGCTGAGTTCAAAGTCACAAAGTCCTTTAAGTAGGCCTCATCCAACCCAAACGCCCACCAACACAAGCACGCAAAAATCCACAATTCAGAGTTAAAGGGTTAGGGGGTTTGGGAAGTTCTGAAAAATGGTTTCGACTCGCACACTCGCACCAGGCAGGCATGGAGGTTTGAGGGTCCAGAGTGTCATCGTGCCTTTGCTCAGGAACCATCCTTGAACACGAAAACCTAAGCCCGAAATCCAACAAATCCTAGGTCCGAAATTCCGAAAGTGTTCTGGAGTTGGGTTCTTCAGATCTCAACCCGCGGCGCATTCCAAGGAGCCGGGGCTTTCGTTTTGATGAAAGCCGAATCAGAACTTCCCAGATCTCAACCACCGCAGCACTATGGCACTACGGCACCTTTGTTCCACAAAGCACGCATTGGGGAGACCACGAATATCAAAACTCGATTTCAGGAACACTACACCGCCCAGCTGCACACTGCGAACCATGGTGGTCGCCACACTCTCCTCATCCATGACCTGCAAAAATCAAGTTCGGTTGGTCTGCCGTATATTCTATGAAACGGGCTTGTGCACAAAGTCCTGGCTGGGTGTTTAGAAAGCTTCGGGAATTTCAAGAGTCGCAGGGCGGCTGGGCCGAAAGTACTCCGAACATGTCCCAAAACCTGCAGCCCAAAGGATGCATGGCCGTCAAGGTTGTGCTGGGTTCGCTCAACAACCCCGAAAATCCTATCAAGCTCCAACCAATCCCTTTTTTGAGCGGTGTTGGAGTCTTTGGGTGTTTAGACACTCAACTTAAACTACGGTTCCGCTCTACTGTAGCTTTTTAGGCCCGTAAAATTCAGGCCTTAACCCAACCCTTAGGGACATGTTCAAAGCTCTTGAAACCCTCGAGTGAAGGAGCTACACAGAAGCTTTGCGCGATGTCGTGTTCAATGATGTTACGGACGTTCCGGGCAGGCCGCCGTACAGCAGCAGATCGATACACGCCAGCAGTAGTATCATAAAAACGAGAGTCATGATCACCTAAAAACCTGAACCTGAACTCCCCTCGCTGACTTTAGACCGCTTAAGCCCATGACCCCAAGCCGGTCCTAACCGTCGCATTTGGAAAGGCCTGCTTGAGAGAGGGATCTACAAGGTTTTGGGGCTTCAGGTTTAGAGGAATGAATGTATCAATGTATCAAACTCCTTATTAAACAAGGTAATGTGCCTACACGGTCTCGGGCTTGGGCAGGATTTTACAAATGGACTTGGCAAGGCCGGCTGAGGCCTTCGCCTGATCTTGCGAGCCGATCCTAAGAAAGGCCTCCCCGAACCACAGCTACAGTAAGCTGAGCCACTCGGTCTCTATGCCAGGATGCCTGAATCAGGGGACAAAGCCGGTGTCGTTAACAACAAGAGCTTGGACTTCGAGGATTGAGTTAAGCTCCCGGCTGTTCGTGAATGGCTTAGAAGTCAGTTCACAACTGAAACTGTCGATGCTGGCTGGGGATTTTGGGTGCTCATCTGCTAGATCACGCACAGATTTTGTAACTATGAAAGAATCGCCGTGAGCTGCCGTCTACGTCGACTTCTCATGTTCTAGGCTGCAGTTGACAGCGTGAAGGCCAAGTGATTCGGCATGTGGTTTGCCAAAGGATTCATGCATAGATGCTGAAAAGTATGGATGTACTGAGCACTTTACCTATCCTTGGTACTAATTTCGGGCGATCAGCAATCAAAACGAAAAACCTACTATAAGCATACAGGGGATTAAAAGGGGATAGTATGACCAAATATTCCGACCCCATAAACGGTGAGAAACCGGCTTCGGGATATCAAGTGCATCCCGCCCAATCTCGAGTCCTTGGAGTATGCGCTTGGCATATCTATTGCGTTGTAGGAAACCTGGTACCATTTCGGTTGTTGTGCCACTGTGCGACAGCATCTCAACCACTTGTCAAAAACAATCGGTTTTGAGCCGAGCCCTCAACCCACGGTATGCATTCCCGAAAAATGAGCGCAAAGAAGTCCCTAGAAGATACCTAAAACAGAAACTCAGTGCCTTCACCTTTGCCCCTGAAACCGCCTTGGAATCTACCATATCGGGGCTATCTTCGGTGCTGTGGTAAGCTATGGCATCCTACACTATGTATGCAATTACGGTTCGAGGACTGCGGCAGGAACATGTTATTCATTAGTACGGTCATTCACGTGTACTGTCAATAGCATGTTGCTGGTGTTCTCGAGTAGGTGCCACAGGGCCAATGGCTCAAGCTCGAAGCAAAAGGCCATCTCATGAAGATCGCAAAAGAAGGGTGAGGTTAACGACCACATGCACATGCAAAGCAAACAAAAATGTAGGGTTCATGGTCTGCTGGGGATCTCTCTTTAGGCTTTGGCACGCCGCTACCCTGGACCCTTCTGTCCCGAATCAACAATCCTAAACCCTGAGCTCTTGTACCCTAAACTCCAGAACCACGCCACACCCAAAAACTAAAAAGACCCATCCCTAAAACCCTCAGTCCATGTTGAACTCATACAGAGCTAAGGCTACTTTCGAATATTTTGGGCCTTAGCACCTCAACTCTTGGACTTTGCAGGCCTGGCGTTGGAGATGTTTCGAGGAAGCACGGAGGAAGAGAGACATCGCCTGCCCCTCCTGCAAAGAAACATGCGGGCCACCCAAGATTTGGGCAGTATCTGGGTTGTTTAAGTCCGTTTAGGTTTCCGTTAAAGAATAAAATATAGGGGCCTTAATAATTAGAACAGGGTCTTGAGGTGCCTTATAGCATTCTTTGTAATGAAGAACTGAAGAACCCTAAGGAAAAATATAGAGAGTTAATGATCATTATTTAGGCCCCTGTATTCCTTGGAATCCAGAGTCGGACCTCAAGTCCTAAGTTAGAAATGGCCAATTTTTAAGAAGAGGGCCTCTGAAGCTGGCGCGTCGTGGCATAGAGGGATTCTGTTGGACAGGCATGCGATGGTTTCGGGCTTGAACTCCGTGCTTTTCTTGATCAAGTTTCTGGGCCCGAAACGACGAAGATGAGCTGGAAGGTGGAAGAGCATGGCGATGGTGCTGATGATGACTGCTGTGAAGTCCATGGTGATGGTGCTGGGGCTGTTGCTGATGACGCTGCTTGCGGTGTTGCGATGGTGGTTGATGTGATGCGATACGGCACGATGATGGCGATGGCAAGGGTTCAGAGGCAGTGGAAACTCAAGTTGTAGGTGCAGGTCATGCTGGTACTGTCCAATCGTTGGCGTGCTGATCAACATGAGATGGCAGAATGCGCACCATGCCATGATCTTGCTCTCATAATGTTGCTATTTTTGCACATTCCGGTGGCATTGATGATGATAGTATGATGATAGAGATCATAAATGCGACGGCGATGAACTACCTCCATCTCCCCCAATTTGAAAACGTCTGTTTCAAGACTGGAGAGCCGCATGATATTCAGTGAGCAAATCTGCAGGGAGCACTTTTCGGCTAGCCGTGTCTGGGATGCCCTGATCCGTTGTCCCAATCCGCACCATGAGAATCACTACGAAAGGTCTGCCGAGCTGAGAAAGGAAAGCTTTTGCGACGGAACATGGACAGTCAGTGCCAAGCCTGTCAAACAACAATAAACCTGTGCTTCTGGGATGTCCAAAAAGCCGAAATCCACGTCCTCTGCGTTGGCTAGCCTGGCGTCTGAAAACCTTACGATCCTAAACCGAGAAACTGAAACCGTAACACTTGTACTGGTTTCCTAGGTATCTGTAAACCCTGAACCCCAGGTCTTTGGGCGCGGGGGTTTCGGTTTAGCGTGTCGGGTTGGGTTCACCGTCTTGATCGCGGTCGCGACTTCTTTCTGCATCCTTGCAGCTGAAGCTCACAAGCCACTGAAGACGTGGCAGCTGCTTCTCTCCTAACTGTTTGTATGAAGGTTTTGGGATGTAGAACCCTGAACCCCAATTTTGGGGGGTTCAAACCCTACCCCCTAAAGGGTTTCGGGGTTTTGGGTTGAAGAAACATCCAGATCCCCAAGTCTCAATCTCTTTCGCAACTCTAGAAGCTGAGTGAGCCCTGCTATATCCCTCCTGAGGCCGCGCTGCCACCGAAATCAACAACCCGAGCCCTAAACCCTGAACAGAAAGATCCCTCAACACTCTGTCAACTCCCAAAAATCTGCAAAACGCGATGCCCGAAATTCGAAGAAGCAAGGCTTTCGGCCGAGCGGCTGTAGCAGCACCGTGTCCGGTCCATGCCCGGCGTGTGGTGCGAGTCGAATGCGCACAGTAGCCGGGAGAGAGTATCTGCAGAGATTGGATTTAGGGTTGAGGGTTTAGGCGAGTTGGGTGCATATCATCTCAATTAGATGAGTGTGGCAGAAGCAAGGGCTCTGTGGTCGCGCATCCGGATGCGATGACTTTGTTTTGATTTCGCAAGCAAAAGGCCACCCGATGTGTTGCAAAAGCATGGAAACGGAGGTCACAGCTCCGCTTGCGGTGCTTTTGCCGTGGACGTGCTTTCCAAACAGAAGTGTCTTGCAGAAGCACAAAATCTGTGACCAGGGTTCCGGTCTCTGGTGTTTGTTCTGTCTGGTGACACAGGCATATGTATTGTGAAAAGTAATATTTAGGGATTAGGGTCTAGGGTTTAGAGTAGTGTTGTGACTTGGGCACGTCATTTCACTGACACCTGTGGGGATTTGACTTCTCGACACCAGTCTTGCACAGCACACTGGGAATTCCTGTCCGTCTGCTGTAGACTCCACACTCTGAACACGGTCATGCTCAAGGCACGCGCCTTGCGGTAGCATCTCATTTCGTGCAAACCTGGATCCTAGACGCTGAACAGGCCCAGAAATCTCTCACCTCCTTAGCCTTCAGGAGGTGCCTTAAGCCTTAAGCCGTAAACACAAGCCCTTCCATGTACACGGTGAATCATAGGACTCATATGCTGAAGGCCTCTTCACCAGATTCCTCACGGTTTTAAAGGCAGAGAGTCCCGAGAAGGTGATTTATTCCTACCGCTCTCTCCAACTCCAGCTATTGGCATCCCCATTGCTCCAAAATCTGGGATCCCCGGCCCTCAAATCTCGCGATGCAACGTCGGCCTTGAGATTCCGGGAGGAAGCTCGACCACTGCGTCGAGGACGTAGAGAAACGGAATGGCCCACTCTACACCTCACGGAGGGTCTTGGGTGTGTCCCAGAATGGCTGCAGCTCTACTCCGCACACGCAAACTATCGCAAGCTAGCCTGAGGCCTCCCTTCTCCCAGTTTTAATAGTAGGTCATCATCATGCCCTCTTAACGATCCTCTCATCATCATGCCCTCTTACCGATCCTCGTGCTACAATGATTCACAAACGACAACCACTGTGCAGGACATGCTTATGGGGCTATGTTGGGACTTCGTTCCACAGGCGCTGCCGCAACTCCTCCGTCCACGGCACCAACCCATGCAGTTTTCAATGAAAAGTGTCTGGCGTCTACGCTCCACGCATACTGACAAGAAAAGAAACAGCCACCACTGGAGAGCGCCCATAATCATGCTCGTGCACAACCCAGACTGCTGGAAGTCAGACTCCCAGTGCAGGCGGCCCCGAAACCTCTAAGGCGCCTACTCCTGAAAACCCGAATGCTCAATCCGAAGATGTAAAGACTGCTGAAGTACCCTAAATCCTAACCCTAGACCCCAAACCCACAATCCTAAACCCTAAATCCAAAATCCTAAACCCTAAATCCTAAACCCTGAAAAACAAAAGCAAAAGTCTCGGCCTTCTGCTGTCAGCGGCTTCAGGCGCATCTCCGACAGCTCCCGGTCAAAACTCGCGTCGTGGGACCCGGCACCCCGCGCCAAGGACGAAACCTGGACTATAGGGTGCCTTGAAAGGCTACTATAAAGAGTTACTATAAGGGTTCCAGTATACGACAAAGCGTTCTTGTCAGGATTTGAGGGTTTGGAGGGTTTAGGGTTCAGGTTTAAAGCCTCCCTCACCCCTAAACCGGCAGGGTAAGCTCGAAACCCGTCCCCGCAATAAGCAACTTAAACTTAAACCCTCAACAGCGTGGCAGTCGTCGTAGCAGTCGTATTCGTAGTCTTCGTTTTCGTCGTAGCAATAGTAGTAGCAGTAGCAGTAGGAGCAGGAGCAGGATCGTGGCGGCGGTGCCTGCGGCAACGCTTGTAATAATGCTATACTTGCTCCCGACACGACACTAGCAATGGCTTTCAATGCCTGTTGGCGGGTGACAAAAGCAAGAAGGCAAGGCCTCCAGCGCGCGGCCGCGAACAAAAGATCGAACTAAGCGCGCCATGGCCTTTCAGTTGGGGTTTAGGGCTTAGGGATTTGGGGTTCAGCTTCTGTGATTCTCGTCTTTGGCAAGCTGTCTGCGTATACAAATACTGTACAGACTGTGCACCACGAGTCACAGGCTGCTTGAATCATAGAAGGGGCATGCTCCTGACCCTCACTTCCATTCTACGCCTGAATTTCTGCAGCTACCTTTCATTGCATGCCGAACGTTTATCATGGCTCCCAAAGCCGTGAAAGCTCTTCAAAGGGGAAACATGGGCCTCCTTCTGGACAGCCGACTGGTCCTGGCCTGCGCCGTTTCTGTCATCGGGATTCGTTTGCAGGGCCGGTTGAGGGCTTAGTTTTGGGGGTGTAGTAACACACACCAGGACGAATCCCGGCAAGGCCTGCAAAGAAGCAGGCATACAGCTCGTAGCGACCCTCGCTGTAAAGCTGTCATGTAAGGCTCAAGAGAAAAAGACAAACACAGGTATCACCCACTAGAGCAACAGTCTCGTGGTTTGGGGCTTACAGCTTTAAGGTTCAAAAGTAGTCGAGCAACTGCAGCAGCAAGATTGGCAGAAGGAGGGGTACCACCGCTTTCGTAGTACTCGTATACTTCCCAGGTCGCCCCTCATCGTGGCAGGGAGTATTGGCGTAGCTAAAGCTGTGGAGCACTCATCAACAACAGCTACACATTCTCCAAGCCTGCAGAAGTGTGCCCTTAAGCATAGAGAAACAAAGCACGAATTGTACCAATTAGTCACCATGCCCCAACTCCCGGACTCTTGTCCTTAACAAGCGGACAAGCATAGGGCATCCGCGTTCCGGAAAGCCCTTGGGGAAAATCATCCCAGCCCAAAACGTGGGAGCGTTTGAGATTCGCGTGCTTTCCGAGTTACCATATCCGAGGCCTACATTTCACCGTTGCCTCGGAAAGACGGCACGATCTCCCGAGGGGCTGCCGCGGCTGGTACGTCGGGTTCCGGTGCGATCAGCGCTTGGGCCTCTCTTGGCGTTTACAGGTCTTGGTTGAGGGCTGCTTTAGCCTAGCTCCGCCAACTAAGTGAAGGCATTTGGGATTTGGGGTTCAGGGTTTGGGCTTGCATGACCGAAACCCAAGACCCCCACGCACACCTAAACCCTACACCCTAAGCCCCGAAGCCCTAAGATTTCCCTCCCCTTGTGCCTTCCAGCGGTCCAGCTCGCTGTCTGCGAGCTTGCCGCCTCTTAGCTGCACCTCCTACGAGGCAAAAGCGCTTTTTTTCGCTTTCTTTTTTCGTCAGTATGTGATACCATTGCTGTAGGAATTCGAATATGATGGTCCATGATTGTCAGTTCGGCTGCTTTTTGCTCTTCTGCTGTGGCTACACTAACTTCGTGATTTGACGGTCGTCTCCATTGCCCGTGACCACAATTGATCCCCTGTACGTTTTGAGATTGTTGAAGACTCAGAGGTTCGTTCATGTCGTTATCGGCTGCACGGTACAGTGCCAGAGGCTTGGGGTTTAGGGTCCAGTGTTTAGGATAGCCGGGCATTGGAAGCAGCGTGGGGATTTGCACCCTGTGTGAGCAAAGGTGCGCTGGCCGTGGCCGCATCTGGGATTCAGAGGCTTTATGAGCAATACACAGGCCTCAATCGCGTTTCGAAGCGGTTCCAGCAAA